CTAGTTGTCACACCGCTAACTTTTACGCGATTGAATAAGAAAAATTGTGCAACAATAGGCAACTTAACTTTTACACATTGGTAAATATATCTATATAACAAAATAGATGGAGAAAAATTAAACAACAATAATGTTCAATGAGAAATCATGCTTACTCAAAATAAATTGTGATTTCCTGTCCATATCTCGAACTGAGAAAAACCATTAAACAATGAAATGAAAAAAATGAATAACAATGGAAAGTACTAGAAGATAAGCAACGAAAGATTACATCAACTTGATTGGGAAGTCCTTTCTCTTCCACCCTGGGATGTGTGCCCGAATGACTTGGATTGATTAGCACCACTATCTCTTCTTTTCCTTGGCCAATTTGATGGACGCCATCATCGCTTTCCCTCCCATGAATATAAGGCCTTGGCATAATCTGAGGATGATTTATACTACTCTACATATCCTTCCAGGTCGTTAGCATACTCTGTAGAGGCCTTATATCACTAAACTACCTCCCATTGAACTCAGGCAAATCAGATCGTAGGTGAGCTTCCTTCTTTTTTTCTTCTGTTGGAGCCTTTAGCTCCAATGTTTAATGGCAGCTTGACTCAACAAACCCAGTCTCTAAGGCCACAACCTAATAGGTGAAAAGATAAAATGATAAACAATTGTTAGGTATGCTTGAGAGAACCGGCATAAACAAAAAAGAGGAAGTATAAAAGGAAGTTTACCCTCTAGGTGTAGACCACCAAAATCTCTCTACATCATCAACACTTCGCCTAACAAGTTCCCTGGCACGAGTGGACATAACTAAAGACCTAAGTATCCCCATCTTACAATAGCCCCTAACGGGAGGAAACCCAAACTTCGAGAAAGGAGATCCTTCACTCTCGAGCGTGACATAACTTGAGCTGTCCCCCTAGTCTCGGGTGATGGGACAACTTCAATAGGTTCATCCAAAGGTTATGAGGTCTCCTCAATAGCTCTCAATCGTGCTTCTCCCTCGACAGTTTTCTTTCTCATCAATGGAACATGAGATAAGACCCCATCACTCTCATGCCCGCACTCGAACATAGAATCCATGGTCTCCTCCAGATTGAACTCCATGTCTGTATATAGGGCTGGACAAAACTCCCGAACCGACCGAACCGAACAGAACCGAACCCGACGTTCTTCTTAAATTAAATACCCGAACGGGTATTTGAATCAAGAACCGACGGGTATGATTCGGTTCTCGGTTCTAGGCCAAGACCCGAAGAACCGAATCTCCGTAATTTTTTTAATTAATTTATTTTAAATAAGTAAAATTATTTTTTTTCTAAATAAATTTGTTAGCTAGATAATTTAGTTCAAACCACAAAATATGATTTTCCTATTTCTAATATTCAGTTCAAAATCAACTTAATCAAATTGACCTCAATTTTATCCAAATCTGTTATTCTACTATAGTGTCATTTCTACCGAAAAAAATCGAATTAAAACTCTACAATATCTCTCTTAATTATTTTGAGCTCGCTATCTTTCTCTTTCTGTGATTTTAATAATCAAATTTATGAAGAATTCAATAAAGAGAGACGTGAAACACATAAGATTGGACTACGTTATTTTGTAAGAGCTAATATTAAATATATCATTAATTAAATTAACGTAACTTTGTATATATTAAAAAATTTAATTATAATACGGAACCGAACGGAACCGAACCGAATGGAACCGAACCCGAACGCGAACGGTTCCGTAATTAAATTTGGACCCGACGGTTCCACTTATTAAATACCCGAAAATTTAGGGTCGGTTCGGTTCTCGTCAGAACCGAACCGAACCGAATCATGTCTAGCCCTATCTGTATATAAGAGATAAAATCCATAAAGCTCAAAGAACAACAAATGAAAGTATGCACAAGTGTGAAATTAAAAGCAAAATATGCAATAACCTACCTTCAGTCGGGATAAATCCTTCATCGATCTCTCGCACAAGTAGGGTGTTCAACACCTCATCAAAATTAAAGTCCATCTTTGCATGCACACAATTGAGTTCATCAAGCTCGAAAAATAGTAAGTAAAAATATATACAAGCATAAAAATACGGGTAGGGAAAGAGAACCTACCAGTAGGTTGATCGATCCCCACTATCAACATATTCTTCATAGTCAAAATTGACCTTAAGTCGGGTGTAGGAGATGATATATCGATCAATTGCTCGATTTGTGCTCTTAAGAGAGGAGTAATCTTAACATGACTATTGAATAAACTATTTTGAGGATGTCACCAATTAGCGTTGAAGGGGAATTGGTCCTCGGAAGGTCGGACAAAGAAGAAACGAAACATCTATCCTCTGTTGGAATTCCTATAGTTGGGAAAGCGCATGGAGACTCTAGAAGTGAAGAAGACAGACATGATACTGAGCTAGCTCATACATTTCAAAAATGCACCTAAAGAGGTCTACTAAGAGAGGAATTTCCTTGCCAAGACAGATGTAAAAGTTGTACAATGCCTTCCTTCACACTCTAGGGTTTATTTGGCTAGGAGTGAGATGAAATTAATAGAAAATTGAGACAAAGAAAGGATGGATGGAGAATCAAAGACCATCATCCATAGTCTCTTTATACGTAGCAACCTTGTGAGAGTTAGACTGAGAAGTCTCTCTTTGGGCCTAGGTTATACAACCTAGGTTTTATAAGTTTCAAGATAAACTATAATTTATTTGAAGTGTTTCCACGAAAAATCATAGAACTTGATAATTCTTTGATTTTTATTTTTTTTTAAATAGAGATGTTGGAACTGAATTCTAGAAATAATTTTCACTCGACGCTGGAGAGAGAGAGAGAACGGAATTATAATAGGGTTCTTGCTTATAAACTTGGGAAAATCAATTGAAGATTAATTAGAAAATTGAGAAACATAGTTGATAGTTAGATGAAATCAAAACCCTAAGCTCATCTCCTATTGCATAATCTTTAAAACTTTTCATAAAATTGTTGATTTAGTCAAAGTTCCATTGTAAATTAAATAAAAAATATTGATCATAAAATTTGATTGTCTAAATAAAACAAAGTCTATTTGATTAGTTACCCCTTGTTTGATCGACATTATTTTAAAAATACAATTTTCTCTCTTCTTTTCAACTACACACTCTTCAATAAAATAATATTACAAGCAAATTCATTCTTATTTTTTAATTACACATTTTACATCAATCTATCATTCCAAAATGTATTCTTACAATAAAAAGGCACTCAAACATGCTTTTAATAAGAGTTTGATTATCATTTTCTGGGGGTTCAACATCCTATTTCACTATTATATTATAAAACTTGACAACTGTGCACTTGCAATATAGTTTACACGTAACACTAGGCTTGATAATTCTTGTAGAGCCAGAACAAATCCATCATTTTTGCTAACTTCCAATGCAAATTGACAATCATTGAGTCCCAAAGTGTATATCTATTAATAATTATATTCGATGACACAAGTCAATCTAAAACTTAAATCTAGAAGAAGACCAGTTTTTGAGACCGAATTGTACAGCTAGGATAATGTTATTCGAATACACAAGTCAATTTAAAACTAAATATAGAAAAATAACAATTATTAACGATATATTGCTGTGTAACTTTTAAGTACAAGTATATATATAAATCAATTTTTAAATATTACTTATAAGCAAATTATAGATAAATATTTTTTCTTATTAGCCAAACATGCTTTTAGTACCTAGAGCACAATTTGCATGGCTTTGTGTAAAAGCATGTGAAGATCCCAACGCCATTGTTACTGCAAAGGTCTGTGTTTCTTTTATAATTTTCTTTTCCCTGTCAGAAAGATTTTCGATTTTGTTCTGACTTGCTGAAAGTATTTCTAACTATCACGTTATCTACAGAATAATTGTAGGGAGCTGCTTTGGCCAGTGATGCTTTCTTCCCGTTCGGTAATTACTGCCCTTCAAAATAGAAATATGACTTCAGTTTTGAACTTCAGGAAGATTGCATCTCAGTTATTACAAACAAGACAAGATCTCACTTGTATTAATTCTTATGAGATCAGGAATAAAAGCATGATATATAACAAGAAAGAAAAAAACGTCCTATTCAGACGGAGAAGGAAAGAAGTAGACGAAGATATTTGTAGTGTATAATAAAAGAAAAAGAAATTCTGTGTCAACAAATGTTTAAGAATAAATTTTCATATTAAATTTGGGAAAAATTTTAAAAAATCATAAGAATTAATACAAGTGAGATCTTGTCTTGTTTGTAATAACTGAGATGCATACAGTTTTTCACCAACGATTTCTCCGTCACACCGCTGCCGACATGCCATCAGCCCATTCACACACCCTCGCCTCCAACAATTGAACTCAATTCACACCATGCCATCACCCAATCACTGCGCCAAGTCTCACCACCTTTCTGAACTGAACTGCGTGCTGCTGCCATGTATTAGCTGACTCAAATCTTGAAATTTTAATGTGAACTTTTGTACAAACTTGCTTATTTATTAGAGGAAATTAAAGGCCAGTAGGGAATGAATATTTTGAGCCAAAATGGATTTGGAAGGCTTATCGATTGAGGGGTACTTTTCTTGCATGGAGAAATGGGGAAGAAATGGAGGTAGGTGGTAGTAGTTGCATGGGATGGGGTGTAATGGTACCTGATTTTTGAAATTAAGACTCAACAAAGTGAGGTTTTCATGTAATTTTCCCATAATAAAAACAATCAAACAGCTAATAAAGTACAATTTTGGTATGGATTCTTATATCTATATTATGGCATTTTTCTAAAGGCCCCGGCCAAACACGGCCTGCCGCAATCCATAAGACGTGTTTGGCCGAGCTTATAACTGTCCCTACATACTGTACGAAATGGTACTTACAAGTACCTATAAGCTCAAACCAAACATGCCCCCTGAAAGGTTGTAGCTGGTTGATTGTGTGCACAACAGAAACCAAATGAAAAGTGCTATATATAATGCAATAAATTAAGGTAAATTACCCAAAAAAAAAAAAAAAAAGGTCCAAAACGCACACAATATTTTGCATGTAGTACGTATAACAATTCTAGTTAGAAATTGAGAATCTGCACTCCAGCAGATCAAAAATCTAAAATAAATTATTGGATGATACAATATACTAAAAGCCGTTTAAACTATGCTAACCTATGTAACGATTAACTTAGCCTCTCTCTCTCTCTCTCTCTCTCGCTCTCTCTGCTTGAAGATTATCCTGACTTTTGACCTTTCATCAATCATCGTCCAGGACGCAGAAGACAAAATTGTCACAAATAAAGTTAATTTCACAAACAGGTAGACCCCATCCTTGAAAACAAGACAATGATCTTTCTTCCTTCTTTCCATAAAACTCTCCCTGTGAGCATTTTCCCAGCTGATTAGATAAGATTCCAGATTCTCTTCCTGCAACCATTATAATACCAAAAAGCTCAACCAGCAAACAAGATTTAGCCTATAAGTACAAAGATGCTGCAAAGACTATATCCCTCTTGATTTTGGTGATGGCCTCTTCAAATTTCGCTTCAAGGTGTGTCTCACCAATGGATTTCGCTGCTTGTATTAGCTGCTGAAGAACTTCCTCCAGTCTCCGGATTGCCCTGATCAAGCTGCCTTCGAAAACCTGTGCAAATTGCATGATTGTAGCTTATAACTGTCCCTACATACTGTACGAAATGGTACTTACAAGTACCTATAAGCTCAAACCAAACATGCCCCCTGAAAGGTTGTAGCTGGTTGATTGTGTGCACAACAGAAACCAAATGAAAAGTGCTATATATAATGCAATAAATTAAGGTAAATTACCCAAAAAAAAAAAAAAAAAAAGGTCCAAAACGCACACAATATTTTGCATGTAGTACGTATAACAATTCTAGTTAGAAATTGAGAATCTGCACTCCAGCAGATCAAAAATCTAAAATAAATTATTGGATGATACAATATACTAAAAGCCGTTTAAACTATGCTAACCTATGTAACGATTAACTTAGCCTCTCTCTCTCTCTCTCTCTCTCGCTCTCTCTGCTTGAAGATTATCCTGACTTTTGACCTTTCATCAATCATCGTCCAGGACGCAGAAGACAAAATTGTCACAAATAAAGTTAATTTCACAAACAGGTAGACCCCATCCTTGAAAACAAGACAATGATCTTTCTTCCTTCTTTCCATAAAACTCTCCCTGTGAGCATTTTCCCAGCTGATTAGATAAGATTCCAGATTCTCTTCCTGCAACCATTATAATACCAAAAAGCTCAACCAGCAAACAAGATTTAGCCTATAAGTACAAAGATGCTGCAAAGACTATATCCCTCTTGATTTTGGTGATGGCCTCTTCAAATTTCGCTTCAAGGTGTGTCTCACCAATGGATTTCGCTGCTTGTATTAGCTGCTGAAGAACTTCCTCCAGTCTCCGGATTGCCCTGATCAAGCTGCCTTCGAAAACCTGTGCAAATTGCATGATTGTGGAAAATTTGGATCCCTTGGCCCAGTCATACACAGCCTGCATGATATCACATCTGAAAGAACTTACGAAATTCTCAACATCAATCTGAACCTGTAAAAAAGTGCAGACAATGTGAATTAACTTGGGATGTGGTATGACACCATGCAGCAATATTGAGAAAAATGTCAACATGCAAATGCAATTTTTAGTTTTGAGTAAAATGTCTACCCTATAGAAGTTTTATACTACGGTAGACTACATTTATAATCTAGCAATTATTTTATTTTATTTTATTTTATTTATTTATTTATTTATTTATTTTTTGGATAAGTAATTCTAGTCCTGTGTGCAAAAATTTTGAGGCAAAAGTTATTGTGCCCTTCTAATACACACCACCAGTACTGAAACCCTAGTAACAGACTATTTAGCAATCTACTCGGAACCAAAAATAGTATTTATAAGCACCTTGCACTCAAGCTGAACTTTAGCAACTCTCCGAGCTATATCATGAAGTTGAGTCAAAAGTAACTCAAGTTCCTCTCCAGGCTTTGTAGCACCCAGAAGCTTTTCTTGCCATACAAAACATGAAAGAAGTGCTACCATCTCCTCCACCTTCATGTCCTTCAAAACCCCACTAAACATGAGCTCGGTCAGTGTTAATTCATCTGCACTGCTGATTTCACATGCAACTTTCCCCTTTAACTCCACAACATCATCACTTGTAATGTATCTGCACATTCCTCAAATTTTCGGCATTAGAAAATACACGTCTAACCAATCATTCAAGCATAGAGAGACAAATTAACACAAACCACATGCAAAGACAAAACTTGAACTCTTCTCTCAGACATAACAACTATCTTTAAAAATAGATGCCTCTACTGCGTGACAGGTAAGTTGTATAACACCTTGAAAGTTACATATGCCACATACTTGTTAGAGCCAGTAAATATGACAAGTAGTTTACAAGTATACATTATGCAGAAAACGCTCGAATTAAATGTTAGGATTATATAAAGGGAAAGAAACACATAAGAAAAAGAAACATTTTCCAGGTGCATGAAATGGCTACGAGTACAGATCTAGAACTTAATAATGAAAATTGCTGCAATTGAACTCGATCTTCAAGCAATAAGTTGGGTATAATTGATGGAAAAAGCAGGGGAAAGAGAGGGAACAGTTAGTCACGCACATAAGAAGACGTACTCTTGCTGAAGAACTCAAAATACCATGATAACAATTTACTGATTCTTTCTTGAGGAAAACTATAAAATAGAAGACACACAATTTACACACTCTTTTTAGAAATTTTTTATGAGTTGGCAATTAAAATACATTTTGAGATCTGATGATATCAGAAAAAGTCATAAGCAGATTTACAATAGGATAGTTACAGTTCGAAAAATATGAATAAGAGAAGCAAAAAGTCAAATCGGCATAGTTTGCCAAGGTAGACGGGTTTGATATCATGATATACAACAGATCACATAATCTTGACACAGAAACAATATGGAAACCTAGATGTCATAACTAACATGATTCAGCCCAGCCTTGAAAAAAGGCAGCAAACATATCTAGTTTAAAAGAATATTCCATGCATGAACTCCAAGAAGCAATAAAAATGTGATGAGGTAATCTTACCCGAGTCTCCTCAGTACTCTTTTCCTTGCTTTCAGTTCATCTTTGAAAGCCAAGGCTGATGAAGAACGCATTGTTTTCCTTATTGATTTGATTTTGGCTGTAAGTTCCTTTTTTTTGTGCAGAACTGTGAGCTTTTGCTCAATCAGCAGAGACTTTGCAATTTCATGCTTTTCAAACAGGTTCTCCAAGGCTTCTATCCTTCGTACTGCCTTCTTAAATGAGCCGCTTTGAACCTGAAGATAAGATGTCAACAACAAGTTAAAAGAATGAAGTGTCTCAAAAGCTACAGTGGAAGAAAATATTCCACTCACTTTCATGTCATCTTCAGGATCTAAGAGAGGTAAGCCTCCTTTTGCAAATCTGGAGAGAACTTCAGACACTTTCTTGAGTGTATTTTCTCGAGCTTCCAATGGCAAAAGATCTTTTGGTATTATTAACCGAACACTACTTAAACTGTCAATCTGCCAAGAAAAAATCGGGACATAATTTGATTATATATAACAGGAAAGAAAGAAGTCACAAATCTTGACAATAATAGTTAACATCTATGCATATGAAAAAAAAGTAGACAGGAAATTGATTTATGTACATATAAAGAGTCCTTTCTTGCCCTCACCTGTGATGATATTCTTCAGTAATCTCTATAATCTTTGACATCATGGATGAAAAATTATAGTTTTAGTCATTACAATAGTTACCAATTTAGTAAATCTTATGTCATGACAAAGATCTTAACCAAGCTTCCCAAGTGTTACAGATTGTCATTGTTACTTATTTTCTAAAAAATATTCAAGAAATAATCCCAGCTTTATGCAATAAGAGATCAAACACATGAGAAGAAATTTAAGAATACTAGTGTAGTCAAGACTTTGCCTGCGAAATAGGAACAGAAATAACAGCTGGTTCTCCAGGGTCCTTCAGTGGGACGATCTTGATTATTTTTTTAGCCACTTCGTCTTTATGCACTCTACATCTCGTGAGAACGTCCACTGTATAGTTCGCATCCTCTGCCTTTTTATTCACATCATCTAAATAATACATTGAAAATTAGTGACAACTGGATTTAATGAATAAGGAGGTCTCAAGCCTTAGCGGGCAGTCATCTTACCTTCAGAAAGCCCTGTAACCCTTTCAAAATTGATTATAACCCCCCATGTGACCTCATCCTTGATTGAGAATGATGAGGAAGACTCATCATTCTTTGTACATTGAATGCATACAAGCCTTCCTGGCTGTAGAAAGGGTAAACAGTATTTTGGAGAGAATACAATATCACGGACATCCTTCTTCAAAATTTTATATTGTTGTAGCAGAGAGTAATAATTTTCCAAGCTATCTTCTTCTTCAATTATAATTGAATCCCTTTCCTCTTCAAGAACTTTTGCTTGTTTCTGCAAGTATAAATTCCTTAAATACTAACATAGATTACATATTCTAGAAATTGGGCAAAGTCTGGAAGGAAAGCATACACATCAGATCAATAAACTGACCTCAAGATCAGGAATAGCTCGGTCTGCTTGAAATTGATAAAATGAATTACGGAGTAAATTTTCAGGATCACCATCTTCAGATCGAATTTGATTCAGAAGCATGTTGTAGCTTAAATGAAATGCGCTGAAATGCAAGAGAACAAGCCATGAGAAAAAAGTCATCATCCATACAATTAATATACATTAGACATTAATATTTTGGAATGGCGTTTTTCACAGGAAAATGTGTTGATATTGCAAAAGTAATAGTCCTCGTCACTAAATTTATGTTGCCTCGTGCTCAGAGCTCACTCCAGAATTCTTGATTAGCCATAATTTTTCTTTTAAGAATATATCATGTAATTGATGTAAAAGCCAAACAGGAATATAACTTCATCATTAACATTACTCAAGATGCTTTATGCTCAACGCCTTATTAGGAGAACAAAAGTTTCAAATGGGTACCTATTCAAAGGATCAGCACTTCCTTTTAACATCATTTTAGCTGTAGAAGGTTCTAGCTTCTCATCAACCATGAGAATGCAGATACCACGTTCATCAATTCCTCGACGACCAGCCCGACCACTCATCTGTATGTACTCTCCGCTGGATATCCATCTAAATTTATTGCCATCAAATTTGCGAACATTAGTGAAGACGACAGTTTTTGCTGGCATGTTCAATCCTATGCTGAAGGTCTCTGTGGCAAATAAACACTAAAAGAAATTGATTCAATAAGACTACACGCATGTGCATAACATAAAAGATACTTGGAAGAACGTGAGGTTCTGTTGTTTGTTCTCCCGCCAAGGGGTGAAGGGGTGTTGGGTGTAATGAAGCCAAAAAGAATAAATAAGTAATTAATCATTGCTAAAATCATTGAACAGAGGGCCTGTCACTCCCGATATAATTATCAATTTGACAAATTTATACTACTAGAAGTTTCGACACCAGATTCTTAATCAAATTTTTAAACCATAAGGAAACTTGATAGAAGGTTATGGTGGAGAAGGCATCAAATATAAACATAATTAACGAACTAGTCCTCGCTTTTTACCGTTCTAGAAAAATCGGTGAAACGCTAATTTGGAGTATGGAATTTAACGATATTAAAAAATGTAGCACGTACAAGCAGCAAAGCAGGGAGTAAATATGATTTAGTAAGTATTCTTCTGCCAACCTTGATGAATCCTTCCTGGAATAGGATTTCAATGACTTCCTTCAGTATGGGAAGTAATCCAGAATGATGCACGCCGATTCCTCGTTTTAATATAGGCAGCAAATTTGATACCTGGGATTATTAAAAAAAAGAAGACAAAAAAGTTAGGCTATACATTAATGAGAAATGAAATATTGGCATATTTCCCAAAAGTCATAATAAGATGAAAATCACTCCACGTATTAATAAAGTAAGAAACATCTTACCTGAGGCAACTTCTTATCATCATCTGATAGCATGTCCATGGCACTCCAGAAAATGGTTTCAACGTTCACTTTCTCATTGTCATCGTTTAGATCCATTTTAGCCATCTATGGAGGAAGAATATTATTTTTAGTCTACCAACTACCAACTAATGAAGGTGCCTGTTAAATAATAACTATCGATATGCTTCCTTACAGGACAGAATCAATAGTAAATAAAAAATAAATCTGATGGGGGATTAATTCTCTTTAAAGGAAACGATCTTAAAAACAAAGAAACGGGTGACTAGAAATTTGATGTAAGATAGATACACATGATGATATGTGTGAGCTATAAGAACATCCCTAATATTACATATAGTTCTCTAGCAATCTTTTAGGTGGCATAGTACTAGATTGAGAGGAACCCATACCTGCATGGCAAGTGATTCACATTCCATTTTGCTGAAGCTGAAACATATGACTGGATCATACTGACGCTGAATAATCATTTTCACCATTTTAAATATGTCACTATCCTCGCCTGCTTTACCAACAACTAACCCTTTCTGCCATTTTCCATTCTCTCTTTTTCTGTCACCTTCAGTGATGGGAGAGAGCGCATTTAAAGCTTTCTGAAAGCTATCCTCTCGAAACTTTCCTTTTTCATCAACAGCTAAATACAGACCACTGCCCCCCGAAGGGAAGATATAATGTTGAAGGGGTGTTGGTCGGTAATCAGTATAAACAATATGACATGGTTGCTGGTGGACCTGCATTCTGGGAGATAATGTTAATACCATCATGCATGCTTCTAAAATTTAGATAAAACAAGCACAATTCAGAGGACTATTAATTTGACAAATTAGCCATATCTTCGTTCTCCAAAAATTTACCATTTGGCAAGGATAACTCCATACTTCTCTCAATGAGAAAGCAGCGCGGCTGACACTGATTTGTGTTCACAAGTCACATAATTTATCAAGTGCAAAATGTAGGGATAAGAGAAAAAATGTAGAGTGAACAGTAACTTGAAACAAAGGAACAACAAAAAGAAGTGAGAAAAAGGAAATGAAGTCAAGGAAGCGACAGGATACAAAAGCTGGTAATGTTTTCAAATTTCAAGCAACAGTGATTATTTAACCAAAGGATAGAAGCTACTCAAAATCACCTTTGCAACCCAATCAGCAAACTCCTTTGCATTGGGCACTGTAGCAGAGAGGAAAACAAATCTAGAGTTCTTTGGGGCCATTACAATACTCTCTTCCCATACAACACCTCTCTCTCTGTCTCGCATGTAATGCACCTCATCAAAAATAATCCACGCCACCTCCCTTATAACCTCCGATCCTTTGTACTGCATGCTTCGCCAGATCTCTGTTGTCATCACCTGAAAAAAATGAAGACCCAGCTTAGCAATGCAAAGAAGTGGATACACATTCAAGACACGTGAATAGAAACAAAAAAATATCAAACCTACCAAGCAAGAGGCGTTGGGATCAATTGTGACATCACCTGTCATCAACCCCACATCTGAATACTCTTCTTTGAACTCTCTGTACTTCTGGTTGCTGAGAGCTTTGATTGGTGATGTATATATAACACGTTGCTTGTTCTGCAGCGACATGGCAATAGCATATAATGCCACAACTGTCTTACCCGCAGATGTGTGCGCTGAGACCTAAAGATACACTTAAAAATCAGTTATGCTTCCATCTAAATCTTTCATCATGCATACAACAAATCACTTTGGCTCCATTTGGAAATGAAGAGCTAAGCAAAGAAATTGAATTTTCTTTTCTTCTCTCCCACTACCAAAATTTTCAAATTCAGTTTTAACATGAAAGTTGAAACTATATGCATAAATTTTGAACATCTCTTTCTTCACAACGTTGTGTACTCATATCCTTTGAGATTTCCAACATATTCAAACATAAGAAAATGGTTTCCTCCGTTTCCGTCAACTAAATCTAAAATAAACAAGAATCAAAATTCTCTGTAGGTAAGTTTTGATTACTTTACCATGACTGACTCGCCATGGTGGATGCATCTGATGGCTTCGGACTGAAAAGGGTCAAGCTTGAATGGAAACTCCTTAGCTGGTTTTGCATCTTCTTGGGTTGCCATGGTGGAATTTAACACACGAGGCACGTACCCTTGAGGATATGACACATCGTGCACACATGCGACAGAGCCATCCAAACCTACCAAATCATTCTCTCTATGTTGTTTCAGTGGCGGAGACTCGGTATCCTCCATTGTGCCCTCCAATGACTTCCTCTTCAAAGACTCCATATTTCCTTCGCACATACACATAATTAGATAAAAATCGTAATCAGCAGATTATATATGCATGTATGCGTAGACTGTTAGGCATACACTTTTCAAAACCCTGGAATTTTCTAGGGTTTTTCTTGTGCAAGTATTTCACTGGTTACACTTGAGGCGCGCGGTTCTTAAGGCAAGGAGAAAACCATAAACAGACACATAAAATTTTCAAGGTGACAGAGGCGAAGCCACCTGGGGGCAACTGCCTCCACTGGATTTTGGTCCTGGATATTTCATCTATAACACTTGAGGAGCGGCCAGTTTTAAAGGCAAGGAGAAAACAACCGCATCAAAAATTCAAGAGACATGATGTCGAAAAAACCCACGTTTCTACGGGAAGATTACCATCAAGAAACAACAATTTTGGAAAAATAAATAAATTATAAGGAGTTAATTGAGTTGAAATTAAATCATTCACAACAATCAGATAAAGTGCGGTTTCAACAACACTAATAAAATTCGATAATACCTTCTAATTCGTTGATGAAGAGGTAGAATGGAAATCTATGCAACACAAGATAACTTGGTGCCTGTGACCCTCTTTGCCTCTTCCCTAATTCCCACCGTTATACAGAAGAAGAAAACCTCGGTCGCTTGTAGCCCTTAGCTCAATGAATAAGACTTGAAGAGGCCTGGGCTATAATTGGATTAATGTGTATGCATTTTAATTGGGCTTTAGATTTTTCCCCATTCTAATCTAATCTATTTCTTGAATGGGCTGATTTAAGTAATAAATGAACGAGAAAATTTTATAAATAAGAGTTTAAATATTACACATTTTAAAATAAAAAAATAAGTTTCAAATTTTAAAAATCAAATGGCCCAATCAAATATTTCACAACTTTTTTAGGCCCAACTTACTATAAAAATGTTTTTGAGACCCTTTTTATGTTAAAATGTTCAATTTATCCTTGTACATATTGTTGAAATATCTCAAATGCCCTTAGTATATAATGACCAAAATGCCCAATTTTCATATTATAATCATTAATTTTCTTTTTTTGAAATTCCAGCGTCTTCCCCTCCTCCTCCTCTCCTTTTTCTTTAGTTTATCTAATCTTCTACTTCTTTGTTCTTTTTTCTTTTCTAGTTTTACTCGAAGCATAAAAAAGCACATTAAAAAACAAACCCTTATATTTCTACATTTTATATTGGTGAGATATTCTTCTCCCTTACTTTTAGTTATTTTTTCATTTGCACATATATTCATTGTCATTTCTGTTTATTTAAGTATTTGAATTCATTTTCGATCTCAAGTGACTTTTGAAAGCAGAATCTCGTATACTTTAGTGACAGAATCGGAATGGACATTTATAACCACTTGGGTCGTTTTAGTCGTTTTAAACGACCATAGAAACGGCTACAAGTTACAGTTACTATAGCTTACAATAATTGCTATTTGCTAACTTTCTAAAATATTACTATTCTAATTACAGATATGAACTCAACAACATGAATTGCCATATTTTATTTTGGTGATTTTATTAATGATGATGAAGGAAAATAGATATGGAAACGTAGCGAGGATGATGAAATGGTGGAAGGAGTTCCAATATTTTTAGATACTTCATATCACGATCTATATTGTGAAGTGCTAAACATTTGCAAAGTTGATTCATCTTCGCATGAAATTGAGATGAGATTTCTTCTACCTGGAAATGGACAGTTTTCAATTCCAACTAAAATTACTTCAGATAGGCAAGTGCAGTGGTTGCTATCTCTCAATCAAAAAAATTCTCATTGTCCAATTTGTGTAATTCTTGTGACCAAAGATCCAGTTGACCATCCACAAGAAAAAGACAACGATCCATTTTATGAAGTGGAAGACGATGAAGTTCATTGTAAAATGCAAAATGAAGGCAGCAATCTTCATTGTGAAACGCAAGCAGATGACCACAATGAAGTGGATCGGACTGAGAACATTAATTGGGATGAGTTGGAGATAGCTGAAGATAATGGTGTGGATAAAACTGAAAATGGTAACACTATTGTCTTTTCTACACATGAATCCGAGATTCTTCAAAACAATAGAGAAGAAAATCTTTTTACTAATAAGCATCTTGTAGCTTCAACTCTTTCGTCACATGTGAGTCCCGAAAATGCGGAGTTAGAAGATCGTCAAATTTTCAACAGCAAAAAAGATCTTATGATGGAAGTTCACATGCTTACAATGAAGTACAATTTTGAATTTAGAGTGAAGAAATCAAATAAGAAAGTCTATACAATCGTTTGCATAGATGAAAATTGCAAATGGCGCTTGCGAGCAATGAAATTCAAAAATTGTGATTACTTTCAAATTCGCAAGTATGTGCGTGAACATACTTGCTCGGTGAGTATTCGTCGAAATGATCATAGACAGACAGATCATGGGTTGTTGGAAGACATATAATGCCTAAATTTCAAAATTCCAACACTGTATATAGACTTACAAACATCATTGATGACATGCGTCGGGAATTCGAGATAGAAATGAGTTATTAGAGGGCACAAAAGTCACGAGAATATGCTTTTGAACTTTTAAGAGGTTCCCCTGAGGATAGTTATGCTAAATTGGGCTTATATTCTCATAATTTGGCTAGAACTAATCCTGGAATAGCAATGTCCTTAGAGATTGACAATGAGAACCGCTTCAAGTACTTTTTTATGGCTCTTGGACATTGCACTCGGGGATTTCACTCTTCGATGCGGAAGGTAGTTGTCGTTGATGGAACATGTTTGACTGGAAAATATAAAGGTACCCTAATTGTTGCTACTTGTCAAGATGCAAATATTCAAATTTATCTTCTTGCTTGGGGTATAGTTGATTATGAGAATGATGCATCGTGGACTTGGTTTTTTATGAAGTTGAAAGAAGTGTTATATCTGATCGACATCCAAGTATTATCAATGGAGTTCGAGCTGTCTATCAAAGTGCCCATCATGGTCAATGCATATATCATGTAAAAGGTAACTTAAGGATACTAACTCAAAAAACTGAGATTTTCCTACTGTTTAAGAAAGCAGCAGAGGCATATACCTTAGAAAAGTTTGGAAATTATATAAGCAAAATTGAGAGAATTGATATCAAAGTTTGGGATTATTTAGTCAAAATACCTTTCCATACGTGGGCTAGGTCACACTTTCAGGGGAACCGTTACAATATCATGTCATTGAAAAATGCAATCATTGAATTCTGTCTTTAAGAAAGATCGATAGAATTTGATGCTTGCGCTAATTGAGAGTATTAGAAAAAGATTGCAAAAATGGTTTTATGAGAAGTGTACAAATGCACAGAACTGTACTAGTACTCTAACGCTAATAATTGAAAGGAAACTGCGTAAGAATGTTGATAAAGCCAAGAAGTTTGTTGCCGAACCGATCGATCAGTTTACATATGAAGTGAGAAACGACACCATGAATTTTATTGTTAACCTGGATGAAAAAACTTGTACTTGTAGACGGTTTCAATTAGAACATTTACCTTGTGAGCATGCAGTAGCTGCGGTGAAGAAGAGTGGCTATTCAATTTACTTGTTCTACTCTCTGTATTATACTGTTGAGTATTGGAGAGTAGCTTATAACGATACTATTTTTCCTATGCCAAATGAAGTTGATTGGGAAATTCCTGAAAATTTTGGCTTCCTCAATGTGTTGCCGCCATTAGTACGACGACGAGGTGGACGTACAAAAACAACAAGAATTCCATCTACTGGAGAGTTTCCCAAAAGACACAAATGTAGTAGGTGTGCCGCAACTGGGCACAACCGGCTAACATATACAAGTCAAATACCTTTAGTCGATAGAAGATTGGAGGATTAGTATATTATTTGTTTAGTTGATAGAATGTCATGACAAGTTATTACAATTTATGTTTTATGTTATTACTTTTTGTCATAATTCATCCCAAATTTGTATTTTATGAATATTGGCTAGTTTTCTCATAGTTGTTTATTTCATATGATAAGTGATAGTCGAAAAACAACTTTGATCGTTATCATAGTTCCCTAAAAACAAAAGCAACTCCAGTCGTTTAAAATGACCAGAGTCGTTTTGTAAGAAAACGACCGCAGTTGCTTTAAACGACTCTAGTCGTTTACATAAAAACGATTGCAGTCCTGTAACACGACTTTAGTCGTTTTTCAAATTTTCATCTCATTTTTTGCTTATACGCTCGTTTTTCTATACATTTTTGTACAAAATAGTTTGAAATCTAACCTAACAAGATTTAAAATGTTATACATTATGATTTTGCTTATTCAAACACGATCTATAATGTTAGAAGTTCGATGCTCACCTCACCTCACCTCACATTATACATTACTATAAGTATCATACTTAGAATCTAAATACGGTATACTTTAATCATAATATAAGTAGAGCACGATCAATTATATGTAACAAAGTTCGTCTTCTTATTCATTTTAAACTAATAAGTCGGAACAAAACACGATCCGTAATGTTAGAAGTTCGATGCTCACCTCATATTACATTATACACTACTGTAAGTAGCATACTTAGAATCTAAATACGGTATACTTGAATCACAATGTAAGTAGAGCACGATGAATTGTATGTAACAAAGTTCGTCTTCTTATTCATTTTAAACTAATAAGTTGAAACCAAACACGATCTATAATGTAAGAGTTCAATTCTCATATCATATAATCATTATACATTACTATAAGTAGCATACTTGAATATTGTTTGAAGAGCATGATAAATTGTAGGTAATGAAGTTCGTCTACCTATACATTTATAAACGAAATAAATTATAAATAATTAGTACTGTTTAGGAAAACGACTACAATCGTTTAAAAAGCCTGTAGTCGTTTAAAAATACTACAGTCTTTTTGTTAAAAACGACTGCAGTCTTTTTAAACAACTTCGGTCATTTTGAAAAAGTTCGACATAATCTCTCTTGTAATATAAACTAAATCAACTTGAAAAATAAACTGCTATTGATAACACAAAAAACCCCACATTGAACATAAACTATAAAAGTATATTCATAAACATACAAATACATCGAATGTTCCTAAGGATTAAAATCTAGGGCAAAAATATCGGTAGCCATCTTTTCTCTCCATCTATTCATATAGAAGCCATTAACTTGTTCTACCGGACCGTTGATGCTCAAGAATTCTATATATTTTACTACGTAGATACCACAATCGCCCTTAAAAGATAACAAGTAATGGTAAATGAAGTAAAATGATTAAATTAATAAGAACAAAATATTTAATTGTAATTAAAAAAACTTACGAAATGGCTTGTTTAGTGGTTTTGGTATTCCTTTCTATAGCAAGATTATCTGTGTCCAAATCGATGTTGATTTCCTTCAAAAGTAGCGGGACAATGATACTAGTAGTCTTCAAGTCATCCTTGAGTTGATCGCTCGTAATGCAACCCTTATCAGGATCATACACAAACATTGTTGCTTTGCAAAAGTCAATCTCAACTGCGAGCCAATATCCACGAGTACATAATGGAAAGTATACATGTGTACATTCCTGCCATTTCCTTCCAAATGATGGCTTTGCCTCGGTGCGGCATTCTAAAACGATCTCCTCTCTCGTGTAAATCAAACAAGGCAAAGTTCAATTCATTATTAAATTGCACGTCCAGAATAGCTTGTG